ATGATCACATTTTACGTTCTCCGATTGGCTAATTTCCCTTTTTGGATTTGTATCACTCGCACAAATAAGTGCACGCAGAAATTTGTTTGGTTGATTTATGTAAATCAATTACCCGGGTAACTTATTAAAGTAATTTTTGAGAACGTACAATTACACAAGTAAAAAATTGTCACAAATATCATTTCTAGTTGCAAAAGAGTGCCAGAAAGCTAATTCAAAAGTTAATTTCTTATAATCTCTTATTTAGAGAAGTTAGTTTAGACATGAGACTTTTTGAAATAGGCGAAAAAAAAAAACTTTGTCTGAATTTTAACGTGTACGAAAAAAAACGTGTACGAAAAAAAAACAGTTGCTAACAAAACGACTGAGTTTTTTTTGGAGATTGAAATTTTAAGTTTGGTTTTTGGAGAAAATAAGCTTATTTAGCGGTGTTAGCAATGAAGATACAGGTTTAAGACCATTTTAAATTGGTTTAGTTTTAAGTTTGGGTTTATAAATCGTAGACGTGAGTTTGGGGTTTTTAGAATGTACGCTTAATATGCTCTGTGTTTTAGTAGTGAGTATCATTTTTATCTCTCTTTACGTATGACTGTCTTTTTATATGTATATAATCTGTTTTCATTGCTTCATATAAATTTTTCTTGAGGTCTTCGTTTTCTAGTACTATAACAAGTGAAAATTATATGATTTGATTGGTTGATAATCACGTGTAGATCTACAAATCAATATACGATCTTTTCTAGAACATAAATTTGTGATCTTTATTTTTGGGATGATTCAGAGAGTGTACATCCTTCATTAACAAAGACAAGGACATGCACTTATGTACATTTTTAATTTCTCAGAACGTTAACACTAAAATGATAATGTTTGCCCTAAAATCTTAACGTATACGTTATAAATTTCGAATGTAAACTAAATTGTTAGCATGTACGTAAGATTATTGGCGTATACGTAAATTGCATGCGAACAAATTAGTCCCGCAACCAAAATTCAGCAGGTCGACCAAAATACAGGTCGGAATGGACCGGAATTCCTAAAATTACACAAAGGTTTAATAATACGTAAAGTGGTAGCCCATGTACTAAATGAAATTTCCCAGATGCTAATTTGCAATAATATAAATCTGGCCTGGCTCCGGCCTATCCCGATTCATCTAATATCACATACCCACATGCCCACAAGTTAGGGCCACGTCTTGTGCTGTAACCGTGCTTCTGTTCAAGTTTTGTGCTTGTTCCTATGCCTTTTATTTAGCATGCACATGAGCCAAGGTTGCAGATCTCTAGTCGTACATTAAACTAATAATTTTTAAGTTTAATTTTATTGATTGATTAGTATATTAATAAGGCCGTTTGAAATTAAGCTTTGCTTTGTTTAACGTTGTTTTTCATATAGTCGTCGTACATCAGATTTGACAAGGCATGCATTAAAAATTGAGTTGCGTCAGAATGAAATTCGATTCTGAGATGCGTCAAGTCAATAAAAACAATTCATTTTGTATTGCGTGTCAAATTTAACAACTATTAAAGTATTCGTATGGAATAAGAAGTAAAGCACAAAATGATCAAAAATTATGAAACTTAAAGTTCTTTTTTTATCCCATTAATACCATGCCACTTACTTTTTTTACTTTTCGCTATCGTTTAAATGTTTGAAATTAGATATATTTTAACACTCAAAAAAAGCGACGTTAAAATTTGGTGTTGGAGTGAAAGCAAACGAAATATACTGTATGGAATTTAAAGCACTTACTATTTTTCCTGATTTAACCATACAATACATACATGTGGCAGAAAACTATTCAAACTAGTTACGATATAAGATGTAATAGTTTCAACACAAGCCAAAATATTTCGATCACATATGGGTCTTTGCCTTGAAAATTAAGTTATGGAATATAGTAAATCATAAATCATATGTCCCATATTTGATTTTCAAGGCAAAAACCCTATATTATACAGTATGAGTGCGCCAAAGAAAAAACTAGATTTCAGCTTCGGCTTTTAAATCCTAAGAAATCTGAAGAATTGAGTCTGGAAAGTTATAAATCTAAAAGCTAGAGTTTGATATATATATATTTTTTTATCATCACTTATACATCTAATTTGACTCAAAATTTCTATTTTAATCGTACGCATTTCCTACTCAAATTTCAATCTGATGCAACTCAATTTTGAATCCAAACTCATTCTAATTTCACGTACAATATTGTCACAAAAATAAATATATAACATAGTGAAAAGTTTGGACTGATAATTGGCTACATGTCGAAATTATATTGATTTGCTACTTCTATTTATCTAATTTGAGGAGATAACGTAAACAAAAAATCAATTTCAAACGCCTAATAATAATTTGAGTGCTGACAAGCAAAAACCAGCAATTTCGATTTTTGCCGGCTCCGTTTTCTGATCCGATTCCTGATAAATTTAAATTAAGCACAATATAAATTATATGGTGTGTTAAATCACATTTTTCGGAGTTTGATCTGTAAAATTAATTTCGGAAAACTCACAATTCCCTGTTTTCGCTTGTCGACACTCATTTTTATATCTTGTAGGTTAAATTAAAAACAAAAAATCAAAATGAATAATAAATGAAATAACTGCTTATAAAGAGTTGTACTTATATGGAGAATGTTTTATTATATATTTTTAGTAGTTTATTTTAAAATAGGTGTGCCAATAGAGAGAAGTGCTTATATAGAAGGTGACTATAGAGTAGTATTGTTTATATTATAAATTATTCAAATGTATATAACTATGTAAAAATTGTGTATGCAAATTTGTTCGTTAATTATAACGATCTAATAAACGTTTTTTATGCATTTCTGCCTACCAGGTTAACTTGGTTGTTCATTAGGATTTTGATTTCTACTATGTTCATTTTTATGACAATTATTAAAGCAATCTAAATCTCTACACCTTCCATTCCTATGTCTGTATAATATGTATATTGTTATAGCACCAATAATTATTAAGCAAGCAACGGGGATAACGATAGCAATAATCAATCCAAGACTATTATTTTTATTCTTACAGTCGGATCCACCAGGAATGAATGTATTTTCCCAAGTTAAGCATGGAATGTATAACAAATGGATCTTTGAACTGGTTTATTTGAATCGGTTGCATCATTTGTTATATTTCCTATTTTCAAATGTAGATGTTAATTCTGACAACAATTTACATAACGAAAAAATAAACTAATGATAATAATACCAAAATCAACGATCATATAATCCAAATATATGTTAGCAGTATGAAAGGATGGATAGTGGAGGTGGTTGATTTTCTCCAGAAGTTTGTAATATAGAATATTGATAAGGTTCAGATCTAACATCCAATTTTTGTAAATTCGAATAAACAGTTGTTTGATTTAATTGATGACATGAAGTCCCGCCCATGAATTATTATCAGGTGCTAATACTATTATATGTCCAACTCATGGTTGGATTGGAAACGGAGCGTTTGCAGTCTATAAAAAAATATAAATTTAAGTATACATGAGCACTATATGCCCAATGCATTAAGAATTAATTGTTAAGAAAATACGTGCGTGTGATGACCAGAATGAAGAAACTGTATCAAAAATCCGGTCTACAATAAAATTTACAATAAATTTTTGCATATAACGATAAACAAACATATAAATAATAATAATGATAATTTACCTCAGTCATGATGATTAAATTTGTCTGGTTTCCATGATTGTCCTAAGATACACCGCCAATATAAATAATTTTGCCATTTGGAAGTAATGTTGCGCTCTATGACTTTGGGGTGAGGGAGCATTGCTGCCACTATTTGATTCCATGACAATAATATTGTATCAAATTCATATAACTCATTATATAAAATAAGTGTATCTGATCCCATATC